TAAAATGGGCTTCTCAGGAAAAAAAATTCATCATTGAAACCCAGGACTTTCCTAAAAATTAAACTTTAAAACACAAAATAAGTAAGACATAGTGTAAAACTTGAGGTCAAAGTCACTTTCCCTCACAGGTATAGGTTACTCAAGATTAATTGATAGCAGAAGTTAATTATTAATATGTCACCAACATTTCCTGAAAATCTGCAAGAAAAAGAATAAATAATGAATTTTTTATAAATTTTTATGTGCACCCATGTCATTCCAAAAAGTTAATAGGAAAAAAAAATGTGTTGGGAAATTCGACTTTATAACAGGAGGATGGGTAGGCCCTGATGTGTTACTGGTGAATGAATTTGCCTTTTAACATCCCTACCAACTAAAGAGAGTCCTCCCTGAGAAAACTAGGACCAAATCACTACTATTCCCACTGACAAAGATAAAAGCAACAAGGTAAAAAAAGTTAATTTTTTTGTTGATATTTTTTAATTTTTAATTTTTTTTGTATATATTTTTGAGAAACACAACATCTGAAAACATTGGAATAAACAAAAGCAAAATTTACTTGTGGTAATTCTTAGAATGAAACACTGCAAAACAATCCCAACCCTTACTGACATGCATATACTTTTGACATTGAGGGGCATTGCAATAAGATCAGACCCGAAAATCTCCCTTACCCTCTTTATAACATACCACACAGCGGCTCTGAGTGTCAGAGAAAACTGGGATATGGTCAGTTGTAAAATCATCTGGGGTGGAAGGGGGTGATTTCACTGTGGTATTCTCTGGGGGACTACCATAATCGGGGAAACCACAGAGTTGCTTAGCAATTTCTTCCCGGAAATCACCCTAAGAATAATGAGAGGGCCTTTTTAGAGCTTCATCATCAGGAAACTGAGTCTGATGCTCTTTGAAAAGGATAAAGCCATTGACTACAGCCATGTCAATTAGGTGGAAAACCAAAGTTTTCCACCACTTCATGGTCTTACGTAGTATGGTATTTGTGGCTAGAATTTGATCAGAGCGGTCTACCCCATTCATATATTTATTGTAATTAGCAATAACTTTAGGTTGTTGTACTTCCCTTATGGCCCACACATCATCATCCTTTCTTTTCCTGTCGAGAAAACCATGATCATTAGCTATCTCTATCGTTGATAACAAGGATACTACTTTGCTATCCACCCACTGAAGAACCAAACAAGGAGGGTCCCTTACCCAACGCATAGTACCCCTATTTTTATTAGGAACCCATGGTACACCCTTTTTTAACGCATCTGGAAAGCCTCTTCTCTTCTCAGAGATGGTACCAGTGGCAGGGACCCCCTGAGCAAACAATGGGAATGATGTATAAAAGTTATCCACATATAAATGGTAACCCTGATGTAGAAAAGGCCTCATAAGTCTCATCACTACATCATAACCCAACCCAAATTCACTAATTCTCTGCCCTGCGGCTTTGCCAATGTGGACATTGAAGTCTACAGTGTAACCATTTGAACTGTCAGCCAAAACCCACAATTTGATACCACATCTGGTGGGCTTGTCTTTGATATACTGATGTATACCAGACCTGTGGCGAGACTTAACCCTGCGTTCATCAATGGCCAAATTTTGTTGGGGCTGGTACAAGGCAAGACACCTAGATTTAAAATCATTAATAAATGAGTCAACTTTACGTAACTTTTGGCTTTTATCTCCATTAGCAGGATTTACCACATGCAACATGGTCATTAGGGCTTTGACTCTGGTTCTGGACATGATTGCTCTTGCCCAGAGACCATGATATAGGGTCTTTATGCTCCAATAGTTATCAAGATCACCAATCTTGACAAGCCCCATATAAATGAGAAGAGCAATCAGCCGCTTGATTTCATCGGCTGTGGTATCTTGCCAACTACCATCAGGGCTTGTATAATGAAAGAATATTCATGTGACTATCGTGTATATACTAGGAAAATTTACATAATACGCGGTAAACTTAAAAACTTTAAAGTTCAGCTGTTGCATAGCAATGCTTTATTTCTGTGTTGGCATGAAGATACGAGTTTGTTACGCTTATTTAGTGATGAGAGGTCAGGTTGGTAAATTATCAGGAATTTTTCTTTTAGGCAGAGGTTGCATCTTTTACTGGAGCTGTTGTAGGGAGAGCTAGATGATAAGACGCGTCATGAAATAGAATAGTCAATGTTGTTGTTCTTGAGTGTCCAGATGTGTTTGCTAAGTTCAGTGGAGTTTTTGTGCTTGGCATGGCGGAATGATGCGGTGTGATTTCTGTGTCTTGTTTTGAAGTCGGTCGGATCAACTCACAGAAACCGTGTCAAAAAGGCCAATGTATTGATTAGGTAGATGGGTTTCTAATTATAGCCAGGATGACGTGCATGCATGGTGTTAATAATGATCATACTGACTTGAACTTTACTTTAGTTTTGTTCATTCCACTTTACTTACCTTTTGTACTGTTCTTTGTTTTTTTGACCTTCTTCCCTGGGCTTGTATACAGTGAAATTAAGATAATGTTAAACCTTGAGCAATGTTTGGATCTGCCATCTTTTTTCTATTTATGGCAAATAATAGAAGCTAAGGTATCTGACTATCCTATCTTTGAAACAGTATTGATGTAATAAAACATCTTCAGAAACCTGATGGCCTAACTAAGAGTAAAATGTCCTGACTTTTAATTGACTTCCCAGTAGAATTTAGAATTTCTATGACATGATATGCAATTTGTTGTCACGACCATCTCTGACCTTAAAGAAATATGTCTTTTTGACTCTAGGAACCCTGATTTATCAATGTAATATGTTAAATCGTTCCTTATAGTAAGTTACGGTAACACCAGGGTTATGCCAACCATTTTCTTTGTGACTTTTATTTCTCTTTAGTTCAAAAATTCATACATTCTGTTCCTCACCATCAGTTTCTACAATTTATAGAAAAAATAATCGTGTATATATATATATATATATATATATGCTCTGATGGCCAAGCAAATCAGAAAAGAGGCAAGAGTGGCAAAGTTTCAAGATGAATATCCTAAGATTTCATTTTGGGAACTTTGGGTATGGATTATTCCTTTTAAAATCACAAGCGAAAAAAGCTTATATTATAGAGTTTGAACCTAAATCTGATATGAATTCTTTTGAAATTCATGGCAAGGTCAGATATTTCACCACCTCAAATTGACTGAAATTAGTTATATGTTGAATTCTTGTATGCCACATTGTAAATACCATTGTCGACATGATGCTCTAACATCAATTGCATCTACCCTTCCATGCATGGCCTATCAAACTACAATGTTTTGCCATGTGATGTCACTAGACTTCAAGAAAAAATGGACAAACCTGCAAGATTTGGCTGAATTACCCATGATCTACCCCCTTAACTACATTGGAGTTAATGTCTATTTAGTTGCTGGAAATTCATTGTAAAGGACATCATAATTTCTATTAGTTCAGCCTATTGTGAGCATGCTGGTTGTCAAGTGAAGTTGATTGTGCTAGTGTTCATAATTTTCCCTCCTCTGACCACTTGTTCTTCGTAATATTCAGTAGAGTAGTTTGGTGGTTATTGGCATGTCGTCAATATGAGCATTCACTTATCGCATGGGCAGGCAGAGTTTGTATGCTTGGCATGTAAGGGTCATAACTTTTTGGTGACTGGCCAAGGGGGAACTAAAAAGTCTACTGTTGTCAGGGAAATCATAAGCGGTCTTCAAGCAGCTGGAAAAAAGGTTTCTGTGGTATGTTTCAGTGGTACAGCTGTATAGCATGCACAGTGAACAATCCTGGTGTCACCTCTACTGTGCATTCCTATGATTGATTAAGAATTGCAGATCTGTTATGGGGACAGCTGGTAGAACGATCCATATCAATAGCGCTATCATTGAACATGTCAAAAAAGGCCAATGTCTTGATTTGGGATGAAGCCAGCTCATCAAGTCAGCGAATGCTTAAGTTGGTTAATGTAATACACCATTGTCTGAGTGACTTTCATCATAATCATCCTTTTGGGGAAGGCAAATCATTGGAGTTCCTCTAGTTACGCCCAGTTCTGGTTGGTTATGATGAAGGTATGTTCATGTTCCATTTGCTGATCTATCAAATCGCCATAACACACTGATTCATACTGATTACTGTTCTTTGACAAGAAGAACAGATGCTTCTAAAAGATGATGTTGCTCCCCTTAGATGATGCTTGTAAAAGAGAGGTAACTATGACATAAAATAATACGTTTGTAACGGTTCTATCATTCATATAAATATAAATTTAGGAATTAAAATTAAAGGCCATGTTCACAACTTAAATACAAAACCTGCATTAAGATCCTTGGTAAAAGTATCTGGAACACTTTTCCCACTTGATTTTCAGGAAATTGTCGACAACATAAGAAAAATACACTGTTGTAAGTAGCAAAATGGATACAGCATTGGGAAGAGTTTGTTTGAGGTTGTCCTCAGTGTCCAGACAGTGTTCCCAAATATCAGGTACACATACTCGGTTTATAGAAAATCCTGTCTTTCTCTTATCAGTCTTTTCCTGCTTGAAACTTAAATTTAGCAAGGAAGATGATGTAATGTAAATTTGAAAGTAGCTGGTGCTTGCTTGAATGCCCTAAGGGCATAGGTTTCAGGAAGTATGCAGTGGTGCACTCCTAAAAAGTTTTAACAAATGTGGCTGGAGATAATGTGATGATTGATAATATGAAACATTTCCTTAGAGAGGTCATGGGCATTTATGTAGTACAGTCTAATCAAGCAATAACTCCTATTCCCCAAATTTAAGATATTCATAAAAAGGTGAGTGGTGTTTCAGAGTTATTCTACTCGTTGTTGTGCACAGTTATTATCTGCATGGTTATCTAAGTATGGATAATTTTTAAACAGAGAAGGATATTTCAAAAAGTATATTTTCGGTATATACAAGCAACAAGTAGGGTCAGTTATTGAGGTTAGTCCAACATTGCTTTTCCTGCTGTTAACTGTTTGTCCAAACTGAATCTAATTTTGAATTGATTGTTGCTGATTGTATGTCGGATTATTGTTTTGACCATTGCAAGATCTTTCTTGACAAAAGTGGTTTTCTACACAATCCTGATTGACAATGGCTGGCCTAATGCATGAGTATGGGAAATACTGCAGTTTTACTTGCACCAGGGCATGGAAGCCAAGGCACATTGACTGTAGATCAAGCCCCAATTTACTGGAGATAAAAGATGAATTGTGATCTGTGCTCTTCTCTCTCCAATCCAACATGAAAGAATAAAAACTGTTCAACTTTTTCAGCCTAATGTCACTGATGTTTGTTAGTGGACATTTCAAGTTGAACAAGTTGACTATTTCTGCAGTGTGCTGAAGGAGTTGATGCGCAGAGCGAATGGGGGCTCCATTGTCAAGCTCTTGGTCTTCCATAGAGGCTATAAGGCTCAGAGCAAGAACGACCCCTTGATTTTTCGGCCATTTTTGAAAGTGTTCAGAAGTAGTTGAATTTTGGCATGTGGACTTAGTTTTACTCGATATACACTGTTTTGGTTTTTTTTCACTGGTTTGCGCTTCGTTTTCGAGAAATAACGTATGCAAAAAACCTTGAATTTCGTAGCGGCTTTCATTGAATGAAGCCGAAACAAAAGAAGCCTTTTGTTTCATCAAAACAATACAGCCCCCGAGAACTTGCATATTCATAACTAGCTTAAAGAAAGAGCATGTTTTTTGTTTTGAGTTTAAAACACCGTTTAGCAAACGTAAAATATCCTTGAACAAACTCGCGCTACGGCAGAATTGAAGACAAAACCAAAGATACGTTGACATAGCCAAAAGTTTATACGAAAACGCTCCTGTCGAACGCTTACGCGAAGGAGTGCCGCAGTTTTATTTCACGATAAAATTTTAGTCGCGTAATCAAATGTTCTCGTAGCACAGTCGGTTAGGCATTGGACTCGCAGTCAGACGGTCGGTACGGCTCTTTTTTAACAAATGTCTTTTTTTTCGCTCACCCTTTTTTTTTCCTTCTCTTTTTCAACTCGGGAAGAGGCAAAGCCATTTTCGAGAGTTTGATACGTTGACATCGCCAAAAGTTTATACGAAAACGTTCCTTTCGAACGCTAACGTGAAGGACTGCTGCAGCTTTATTTGACGATAAAATGTAGGTTGTATTAACGAATGTTCTCGTAGCACAGTCGGTTAGGCATTGGACTCGCCGTCAGCCGGTCGGTAAAGTTCTCTTTTTAACAAATGTCGTTTTTTTTTTTCGCTCACTCATTTTTTGTCCTTCTCTTTTTCAACTCGGAAAAGGCAAGGCCATTTTGAGAGTTTGGTACGTTGACATCGCCAAAAGTTTATACGAAAACGCTCCTGTCGAACGCTAACGTGAAGGACCGCAGTTTTATTTCACGATAAAATTTGGACTGTGTAGCTAACTGTCTAGCTCAGTCGGTTAGGCACTGAACTCGCAGTCAGACGGACGGGTTTAAGTAATTTTTTTAAAAAAATGCCTTTTTTTCGCTCACTCTTTCTTATGAAAATGTTGTAATTTTTTCTTTTTTTTTGAACTCTCAAAATAGCTTTGCCTTTTCCCGAGTTGAAGAAGAAAAGAAAAAAGAGTGAGCGAAAAAAGAACACTGTTAAAACGAACTTTCAGACCGTCTGACTGCCTGTTCGGTGCCTAACCGACTGTGCTTTGCAAACATTAATTAACATGGCGCGGATTTTATTGTCAAATAAAGCTGTGCAGTCCTTCACGTTAGTGTTCGACAGAAGGATTTTCGTGTAAACTTTTGGCGATGTTAACGTATCTTTGGTTTTGTCTTCAATCCTGCCGTAGCTCTAGTTTTTTCAAGGATATTTTACGTTTGCTTAACGGTGTTTTAAACTCAAAACAAAAAAAATGCTCTTTCTTTAAACTGGTCATGAATATGCAAGTTCTCGGGGGCTGTATTGCGGATGTTCACGGGCTATTTCGAAATGCGAATTTGAAGAAAGCGGGAAATAAAAACCCATAAAAGTGTCTTCAAGAAGAAAAAACTGGATCTGTAGTGGCCTAATCACTGAGTTCGACACACACACACACACACACACACACACAAAAAAAAAAAAAAAAAAAAAAAAAAAAAAACAGTTGCACGCCGATATAGTGACCTGTAAAATATAAACATATCTATTAATTTACTGTCTTCAAAAAAGGTTAAAATTAAACTCGCCTACCACGAAACGGTTTAAATCACTACTCTTGCGCGAACAACACACAAACAAACGCACACTCCCCCCAAAAAAATAACGTTTGATAAGTGAAGTACAGGTTTTTAAATATTTCTATTATTTACAGTCATGTGGAATTGCCTATGTGCAAGGAAATGACATTTACACGAGTCCGCTAACAAAAATGATTAAGAAACTATATGTATGAAGCTGGAAAATACAGAGAACTGATCAATATATTGTGCTCGAAATTCGTAAGACTGTTCATATTGAATAAGGAGAGAAAGCAAAGCAAATTTTACAGCAAGTTGAAATGAAATGAAAAGAAAATTTGAATGGAATGTTTTTAAAAAAATGTCACTGCTGCTCAGGAACAGGGGGTAGTGATCCCAATCTTTCCCTCAATGGAATGTTGGTTGCGGCGGGTGGTTCGTTGTTTCCCCAGATCCTGAGCCAGCAAAAGTAAAAGAACAATACAGAAAAAGGCAGTACAATAATAAAGCAAAAAAACCAAAAAATAATTGTTATAGAATAAAATAAAATAAATCAGGTAAAAAGTTCACTGCGAAAAAAATAAAGCGAGAGTCAATAGCGGTGGTCGGTGCCTGCTTGGTAGGTGTGGTTGGTGATTGCTTGTGCGAGGATGGCTTGGTGGTTGAATGCGTGTACGGTGAAAGCTCTCTCACAGCAGTTTGCCTTAAAAAGAAACCAAAGAAAAAAAATTATGGTTTGATAAAGACTGCGCCCTTCTGCAAAAAAACCTCAGTACGCTGTCCAATAAAAAACATAGATACAAACCCTCACGATACAAATCTTCAACATAACTATCATACGAGTCGCAAGGCATACAAAAAATCAAAACATCTAAATTCTCAAATTGAAGACCTTAATGTAACAAAATATAAGGAACGAAAAACAGTTTTACACAAGAGAACTTGACCCCTCACCTGGCCCTGAATCTTAGGCCCTGTTTACAAGGAGATAGGGTAACCCTACTGCCAGGGTAACCCTAGCAAGAGGGTTAAAAGATAGCCCGGGTTTACAAGCAAAATTTACAGGTAGGGTAATCCTACTGCCCGAGACAACTTTGCACTCGTTACGCTTTGGTTAACCTTGTAAATAAAGCACGCAACCGACAGAACAAATTACAAAACCGGAAAAATATTATTTCCAGAGCAAACATATGACAAATTGTGAAAGAAATTGATATTTTCTTGGTCACAATTTGCTGACTGTGTTGGTACTGTGATAATGTTTTGCTTTTGGGAGCCAAAATAGAGTTGTCCTGGGTAGGCGAGTTGTCCCTAGCAGAGCATTTACAAGGCAGCTAGGGTTACCCTGGCCGCCTTGTAAACGCGTCGTCTTGAAAACAAGAGGAAATGTGTGAGTGCCAGGGTAACCCTCTTGCTAGGGTAACCCTAGCACTAGGGTTACCCTACCTCCTTGTAAACAGGGCCTTAGCTTCCCGGTCACTTTTATACTGTCTATATCACTCTTAATTGACTTACCTGGAAAAAATCCCATAAAGCGAGTACAAAGTAGCCAAGGCTTGACCACTTTGTTGTACTCAGTGCACTGTACTGTTGAAGGTGACTGGTCTGATGGCTTGCGGGACGATAGGGTATCAAATCACGGATTTTTTTTTGTTTTTCTTCGCAGTTTGACAGATGCACACTTTCAGAAGTACTGAGTGTGGCTGGCGGTCTTAGCAGTCAATTTACTTAAGTGTTTCTTGGCGTTAATAAAATAAATTGATTTCTTGTTTGTCAAAGTGTTGGCCTTTCAATTACTCTGCAATAAAATAAAAAAGGGATAATTGAATTTCAGCAACTTAACTAACTATACGAGGAAATGAGATATGTGGCTGAAAATAAGTAGCATTTATCACCAGTATTTTGACTGTGGCCTTTTTTCAGGAAATGGGGAGTAAAAAAAAAAAAAAAAAAAAAAAACATTGATCAGTGAATAGTTCACTGGTAGGAAACCATTGGTTAATTTAATAATCCTAACCGGCATCATGAAAAGCATTTTTTTTTGTCTAGAACATCTGCTCCCAAGTGATTTCTCATCCTTGTAGCAGGATCCAGCTCAATGTGGCTTGGTGTAAGCTTTTCCTGTAGTAGAAGGGAAAAATGGGACTGATCCCAATGAAAAGCATCTTTCCACTGCCTCCAGACCACACTTTTGCCTTTGATATTCGAGTACCTTGATTTCTTTGATTTCTTGCTTTCCTGTTGTAATCATGTTATAAAATTTAATAAATGTATTGTTAAGTGTTGGTTTAATGCCTTAACATCAGACAGGAAAAAGTACATGTACATTTACAAACTTAAGGTGAATCATAGAGGGAACATCCAATTGGGTAAATTTATGGATTTATGTTAATTATCGGCAAATGGAGAGTAGCATTTTACCTTGCAATCCATGATGAACATCATAGGACCTGTGTATAGATTTCTTGTCACAAAGTTGCTGGCTACAGGGTCTTTGTCAAAATGCAGTTTGATAAACTGGTGATTGCAATCAGCACCATCAAGGATACACCATGATATGCTATTTAAAGAAGACTTTGGAGTTAATCAGTGGCATGGTATCTATTTGACTTTTGACTGAGTTTTATATAATGCTTCTGTATTCCTTTTTCCTTTTTTTTTTAGTTGTGAATGCTGCTTAAGTTGTAGGCAATGTCACTACATGCGTGATCTTCATTAGGAAATAGGCTGTAAATGGTATGAATAGTTATATCTACTAGACATCTACTGACATCTATTATTGTTATCTTTTTTTGTACTCTACTTGTACTTGTTGATGAAAATTAAGTAAGCTCTAATAGAATATGGTTTAAGTAGGAAATTTTGATACACTACTGTTTATTACTACAATCCTCTAGTAAATCTCACCATGTAATTTTTTTTCTCACATCTGTTCAATTAGCTGGTGGTAACTAACTTAAGAAAGGGCACATTGTACAAATTGTTAATTACTTGAGTTCTGTTTCTGTCATCTTCTGTACTCCCTTCCAAAACTTAAATAGATGTCTGTCGGGGAGAAGTGCCCTGAAGGAAATTGGGCTATTGCAAATCGAAATCCGCAATCACTCAGGAAAATGAACTGCAGCACGCGTGTGGCAAGTGAAGGCTTAGCATTACCTGTAAGGTTAACAGGTACATTTTACACTCTGCAGTTACAAAGTTAGGATAAAAAGATATTTTGTTTACTTGGATAATGGTGAAAAGGTTTTGTGGTCATAACAGTATACAAACCTCACCCATTAGTTTCTCCATGTGATCATGGGCTTCTCCCAACTCCACAAATGCAGCAAATTTGTGTTTTCCATTTCTCATTACCATCTCAAGATTTTTCCTGAAAATTTTATAGAAATGTATGTAAGGACTTACAACTAGCTCCAATGCACAGCAACAAAATGGGTTTATGAATCTTGCAACTCAAAGTGTATTTTTCCCAAGGTATAATAAAAAACCATCACAACTGTTATTTGAGATTTGCCTTCCTTATAATAGAGCATTTTCAAAAATCTACCAGCCTCATAATGTACCTGAATTTTCATCTCGTAAATTACAAATCCTCCTCAGTAGTCTTCCTCTTTGAGGTTTCTTGCTTTTGCCTCCATCAAGCACCATTCAAATATCTCAGCATTCCACCCATCTTATTGTTGTACTCTGTTTTTGCACATCTTTGAAATGAAAACAGGGAAAAATGTGTTAGACTTGGATGTCAGATGTATATATATATATTTTTAACTAAACGTAGACATAGACATTGCCACTTTCCTGATTGTCTTGTTACTTGGCAACTTGATGAACTCCCTTAATGGGTCAAGAACATGTGGGTTCTTAGTGTATAAATCTATATACAAGCGGATAATCCTGTAATCAAGCCAAAAAGAATTTCAAGTAAAAGAAAAAACATTGAATAATATTACTTAATATCATTAATAATGATCTTTCATTTTTTGGTGTTGCTTTTGTGTGAAGCAAGTTTATATGTTAAAAAAGGTATAGGTTGGATGTTAGTCAGTATTCTTTTTTGTTTTTTGGCTTTGATTTCTGCTTCAAGGGACTGTTGTGGTTGTCTTATTTCCTTTGGAGTGTTGATAACTTGAGGCTTAAGTCCATGTAACTTTAAATTACTGCTCACCCTTTTGAGGATGCATCAAAAGTAAAGAGGAGAGGGAAATTTCTTAGGATGTCACCTGTGACTATTCTTGCCAACACTTTGAATATTTTTGTTGTTGTTCCTGGAGGCATTCCATTTCTTTAGGAATATTTTCTTTTTTCATGGCCCAGAACATTGAATCAAGGTCTGCACTGTTCTCTTCATCGACCACCAGGGCCTCACTGTGATATTTGTTGTGCCAATATCTCTCCTCCTCTGCATGTTTTCTTCTCACCTGTTCCTGAGCAACTTGGTCCACCAATTCCTCTCGAGACAAGAACCGTTTGTTGCATTTGGGAGGAATGACCTGCCTGTTAGCAATTTGTTTTTGGCACTGTCTGTTGAGACTATAGAGCCTGCTACAATTAAGGTATTGTCTAGCCGCCCTATACTTGCAGATTACTAGACAAAGGTCAGAAAACACTCTCGTTTATGGCTCCTTGGAACAATCTTTAAGGTCCTGAAGCTGACCTGTTGTGTTTGGGAATAGGGTAACAACTGCTTTGCCTTTTCCAGAACAAATCTAAGGCAGATGGGTAGGTTTTCCAACCATTGTAATAGGCAGGAGATTTGCCCTGTAGTTGTGCTGCCAGAATTTTTCAAAACATGCTTCAAATCAACGACAGAACCATGAGATTTAATGGTGTAGCTTGCCTGAAAAGATCGAGACAACTTCATGGACAATTCCAGGGTCAGGTGCTGAGAATTGAAGTCCATTTTTTTACATCTAGGAAAAATGTAATGTCCTGGGGCGACACGTTCCCCTGCCCAGGTTTGGGAAATTGAAATGTTTTCTAGAGTGAAACCAAACAATTTTCTGATTCCATCTTTGGACCTTTTAATATTTAAGTATGCAGCCTTGTCATTGTTTCGTGGTCCATGGTTCACATGCTTGACTCTTTCACCCCAGATATCTGTTATAATTGCACCCAACGTAATTTTTGAAAATGAAGTTAACAATTTGCTTGTTCACGTCCTCAGCAAAAGGTTAGGCTCCCTTGAGCATATTCCTAATTTGAAATGAACCTGCCACGAAGAAAAATTATGTATTTTAAATTGAGTTCCGGATACTGAAATAAACCACACATGTTGACATTCAATTTGTGTACCAAAGAAAGCTTTTGGATTTCAACTCACCAAATTTCCAATGGTGCAAACTTGAAACTTTGCCACTCTGGATCAATATCAGTACCTGGGCAACTGCCCACCTAACCCTCCCCTGACTCAACAACAGTCCAGTGACAAAAAGTTAATGTTGGGTTATGATATTGATCCACCACTCTTAACTCTTTTCTGATTTGCCTCACGGTCAATTTCACCACACACCTTCCTCTTGTGTGGCATTTCTGCAAAAATAATCCAAGCTTAGGTTCTCCCAGCAAATCTGGCTTCAAATTTTTTCTGTTGTTCATCTGTTTTAATTTCACCTCGCTGTGTGATTGGTTGATCAGGACAATAGATTGAGGGGAGGTGTCTCTGTGGGGATGGGGCAAGTATTATACATCAATTGACCGTACCACTTGCGGTTGAGAGAAAACTGATCCGAAACCCAAGTCTCTTCCACAGTGGTGTTCTGCCTGCTTGTTCAAAGCATAGCTAGAAAGAAGTGAACTTGGTATTGCAGGCAGAAAATGTTCGTTTCCAGCAAAGTGCGCGGGCATTTTTGGTGTTGAGACATGTCCCAGGGTGCAATGATCTTAGATCATAATGTGGGAACCAAATTTCCGTTTCCAGAGACACCAAATAACTCGCTTTAGTTTTGAATTAAAGGTTTAATCCTCACAAAGTGAAACCTCAAATCACTAGGAAAACACAACTCAAAAATCTCTGCTCTCTAAAAAAAACGTCCCTGATACGTATTTTTACGAGGTACGTAACTGGAACCGAGGCTCACAATTTCAAAACGAGGTTATCAGTCATGCAACTCCAAAAAAGAAAAAACAGTCACGACAATAAAATGCGGCTGAGAAAAATGCTGATCAGAAGGATTTTTGGGGTGCAGGCCACCTCCATCCTCCATGTGGACAACAGTCGATTTCTGAGTGTGCAGCCTTGACTTCATCTTTTGACATGAATAACAGTGATGGGAAAGCAAGCTTAAAATAGCAGAAATCACCAGAAACTACAACGGACACACAGGATATGAGTAAGTTTTATTGATTTTTCTTGTAGAATGTTCTTATATGGAAATATCTATTGTTGTAAATCAACCACATCTTGTTCCTCATACTATGCCTTATAATGTGTTCAAATTTTCAACGGTCCCTCTTGTAACTTAACACCAAGTCACACAAAGCATGACGTGTTCATGAATTGAACATTAGCTTTTTCTTAATGTGCAAACAAACATGCAAGGTTTACAAAAAGTCATCACTAGAGAGAAAACTAGTTATAATGTAAATAAAATTAAAAAGGTATCTGTTAATAAAAGTTTGCTAAAAATGTTTCATGGGAATACGAGGTAAAATGTAGTTACGGCCGTGAGAATGGAGTGACCTTCCCCTCTGCTTGGGAAGTAGGTCACATAGACAATGATCGCAGTCTTAGGTGATCTAATCCCATAACAAATTATTTCTGGCATGAAGAATATCTTTAATGGGTGTAAAATTCCATAAATAACAATATTTGTGGACATGTTTACAGAACTTATCAATTTGGCTGAGGTATTTACATTCTAATGTGCTTTCCCAAACTTCAATTGCCTTAAGCCATTAAAAAGAGCCATTAATTCCTCCTGCAAATGACCATAAAATTTACAAACCCTTATTATGTATAGCCAAGAACTGGCTTTACATTGCAGAAGATCAAAATGAGTGTCCCAGTTACAGGGGTCTTGATTGAAGGTTCCACCTTCCACCATGCATCAGGCACCTGTTTGGTTGTTTTCCCTCTCAATACCATTTCCCAGGTCTTGCTTCGGTTAAGTTTCATCCTGTTCTTACAGGCCTATTGTTGGATATTTCCCACCTCTTGCATTGCAGTAACATTGCCTCAATTCCTCAATTAAACCACTCTCCACCAACAGAACTGACCTACCCGAGATTTCCTTTATCTGCAATAGATACATTTGTTATTTCTGATAACCTGAATGATGCCAAAAAAGCAATCCTTCAGACTCTTGAAGTTGATGAGAATTCTAATAACAGCATTGAATCTGCCACAAGAGAGCAATCAAATTCTGATCTCAGCTAGATTCCAGCTAGTAAAAAAAGGCAAAGAAACCATCACAAGTTTCCTGCTGAGCTCACTTACCCAAAGTCATTCTCTTCCAGACATGTTGAGCATGGACTGAAATATAAACCAATTTCACTAAAAGAATACAAAAAATAATGTTAACCAGAAAGACTCCGGGTAAGGTTCTCAAGTGTGATCAAGTTATTTCACAACATTTGCCAATTCTTGCTGGCTCCCCTGATGCAAGAGTTGTTGATTTTGGATGCGAGCAACACTTTGGACTTGCATAGGTTAAATGTTCAGAGACCAAATACCATGTTACCCCTTTGGAGGCTTGAGAAGATCCTTCATTCTGCTGTGAAGCTGTCAATGGACAATGCAAACTCAAAAGAGATGGGTGTAACTAGAGCATCCTGGTGCGACTTCATTGTATACACCAAGAAAGGAATCTCTGTGGAAAGGATTGCCTTTGATCCTGCATACTGGGCAGAATTAAGGCAAAAGCTTTCATCATGTTATTTTGCCCACTTTAGAAAGCATGCATCAAAGGCCGTGTAAATACCAGCTTTTTAGGAGGTTTCCACTCTTGTTTCACCTATTCTATTGGGAGATCTTCACTTGATATTTGTAAATTTCTCACAACAAAATTTGGTTTTGGTTTAATTTTTTCACCACTTTCATTTTGAATTTATTTCGCTTCATTTCTTGTCAATGAATACAAGACAATAAAAAATAAGAGTCAACCTGGGTTGAAAATCTTAAACAAAAGATGAATTTAAATTGCAATACAAATTTTTGATTGGAAGGTCAACTTCCCTCCTTGTTTTCTTCTCATCTATTCTATTTTCTGGGGGCTACTTTCTGGTTTTCACCATTTTTGAAAGGCTGCTGCCTACAATATTAATCATTTTGAAAATGGAATACAATTCAATTATTGCCCTTATTTTTTCCAAACTGCATTATTAAAATATGTCCTGTTTCAGGATATTATGTTATATAACTGAAATCACTGTCCTAAATGATAACAATGTGTCACTTAAATGTCTGGTACGTATTCTATAAACCAAATTGGAACTTGTCTTGGAGGACCAGTCAGATAGTTTCTTTCTAGCAGGGACCAGGCATTTCAGTCTGTGGACTGTTCAGGTATGTAGCCATCACAGAGAAAACTAAAGGTTCACCATGCACTTATGATAAGATCTTGAAAATTGCAAAGTATCACAAACACACACCACATTTGATTTACTATTCCAAACTGACTTAGTGGGATAACACCCTCAAATATTAAAAAGATCTTTACTTTGTTAATGGCCCTTTCCACATGTATTCGCAAGCCAACAACTTCTAGTGTTTTGATAACAAATTCACCTGACATCTGGTCAGACATTCCAAGGAAAGGAGGGCTGTTAAGGGACACTCCAAGGTAGGAGAACATCTTCAATTGAAAAACCCTTGTCAGCCATTACAGAGTCTCCCTGTTCAAAGGGTAGTTTAAAAAAACTGCTGCGTTCAACCATTGCTTTATCAGATCTACTGCCAGTGCATAATTGACTTATAAATGTTATTGACCCTATAGACAACGCACACCAGCAATAGGTTTTCACTTCGATTTAATGTCTCACCATAGTTACATAATTGCCAATGTGGTTTCTAAATAGATGAATAAAATAAAATTACTCGGGGAAATCGAACACAAGGAAGCATAAACTAATAAGCAAACACAACTAGAATAAAGAACGTACCAGACGTGACAGGATAAGGGCTGTAGAAGCGAAACTTGACTGTGAAACTTGACTGACAACGGACAACTGATAACTAACTCGAACAATGTGACTCACAGACTGAATAATAAATTAGCATGCAGAGCGCAAAATAACTAATGTTGACGAGGCGGCCTGGGTTGAGGGATGGTTTTTACAGACCCTTTAGGAGAAATGCTCATCAGTGCTTTTAGGGTGGTATGGTTCTTGTAAGAGCCAAATAACTCACTGTTTAATAGAAGACTGCTAGGCATCTGACAGCACACCTCGGTGCAATTGATTATTACCCTTGTACTGGGATACTTTTCTTTGAAAGCTTCAGGCATCAATTCATCTACTACTTTCCTGGATATTTTAAAAAATTGTGCAAGATGAATTTAAGCAAATCCTTGCCTCAGTCTGCAGATTACCAGGAAACATTCTTCTGATGGTGTTAAAGTCCTTGGCCTTCCTTGCCTTACTGAATTACCAGCAGCAGCCTTTTGTGAGTCATCTTGGCTAGACAACCAGTATTTTTTTTTTCCATTGACACCAGGATTTAAATATTTATACAGAGCCATCATTGTTTGAACATTTGGAAACCCAGTATAAAATGTCAACAAAGAGTCATCTGTTTTGATGTTGTCAAATGAAAACACAATCATGCTTCTCTTTCTTGCATTTTTTCTCAAGAGGAGCAATGTTTCCGTTTAGGGATAACACCTCGCTCTCTAACTTTTTGTTAATTTCAATAGTTGAGGCTAAAAGTTTCTAGTTGTGCAATTTCCAGATTTTCTTTGGACTGCGTAACAAAATTTGTTGAAGATTGCAGTTCTTCAATTTCCAGTGCAAGGTGTGAATTGGATGAGCTTCCTGATGTCTCCAAAATTTTGCTTGAACTGGCAGTTTCTGCAACAAGTCTGGGTTGGGTCACTCTTACAAAAATAAAAACCCACAATGTTAAACTGGTTGAAAAATGCCTAAAGGGAATCACCCCAAGTTATTTCTCCAAATATTTTCAAATTAGAAGAAATAATAGTCATCATCAGTTGAAGTTGTGAGCACTGTCATGGCTGCTGAAGCGGGTTTGAAGCTCCTTATTTTTCACTATGTCATTGTGCTATTAGTGATCAACTTGCCTTCTGAATGCGATGAAAGGGTCTATTTACCCAGGCTCAGTAGTAAACACTTCGCCGCAGCTTAATTATTCAAAATCAAAACTTTATTTTCTTAAAAAATTCTGGTCACTTAGCCCAGAATCTGCACTACATCTCAAAACATTTGGAATTTTCAGAAGCTGTGGCTCAATAGGGGGTTGCAGAAATCACCATTCTGAAATATTAGGGACAGTTGACTGTATTTTGAATATTCGCTTTGTCCACTCATGCTGATCGATAAGACCAACAAGGAAAACAATGCAAGCGGAAAAATGGCTCCGTACACTGACTTCCATGAATATAAGTAAATCATTTTGATACCTAGAATTGTTCCAAAATGTCTTGCAATTAATGCCCACTTGCTCATGAAACCAGACGCAGTCTCTGCCCTTTATGCTGAACTGCTAACAGGATTGATACTTGTTTTGTTTCTCAACCTGGCTGCACAAGAATGTTCTTACAACTGTGTTGTAAGGTTTCCAATGACATTAATGAAAAAATCGTTGAGGTGCTTTCATTAAATCATCAGTTATTAGTTTGTTGTTGTTGTAATCCATAACTAGGACAAAGTTGGTAACTTTGTTTTTCCTTAGCGCCTGGTTTGTCAGTTCCAAACTTTTTTAGGATTGGTCGATTTGTTAAATTGATTATTCCAATAAGCTGCCTTGACCTTCTTTAACAGATTTTTTTACCTCATTTCTTTTTTTCTATGCTGACTCCATTTCACTGGATCCCCAGAGGCTTTAGCCTCATTTAAGAGCTTAAATCTTTAATTTGTTCATTCCTTTCCTGATGGAAAAGTCAATCCACGGGAGGGATTTAGATCCGATATTTGTTTTGCTGGATGGTAAATGGTGTTCTTATATAATGTTGTATAAGTAGTTCCAGACGAAGGGGCAATCATCTATATCATCAAACAAATTCACAAGATGCCAAGGAGCATGCTCAAAATTTGTATTAATCTGTTTTTTGTCCACTTGTTTATATTTCTTTGTTGAAATCACAAGTGGCTTGGGAGTACTTCTGACCACTTTAAAAACAGCAAAAATCTAATAGTGGTCAGATATTCCTAATGCCGTGTTTACATCCAAACATTTACTGCGGTTTAAATTGACCGAGGTCAAGTTAACTGAACATAAGTAGATTAGTGCAGTGTTTATACTGCCTCAAATAACCAAAGTTAATCTGTGAACACTGCCAAAAATCGAATTGGCAGGAAATACAAGCTAATGCGCGCAATTTTAAAACATGGTCGGTATTAACAAGAAAACAGTGGCTCTGATAGTCATTGCCTTTTTCTTTTTAATTCTTGAGAAGCAAGTAGAAGCATCTCGATTAAGGCAACTGCTAATACTACAACGCCTTAAGAAAGTGAGGCGAAAATGGATGATTTTACTGCAACTTATGCAGCGAAATAGCAGGCAAGCGAGACGTGCTTGGTCCTGGCCAAGGAACCAATTCTGGTTCGAAAACCTACTAAACGGGTCTTTTGTCGAAGATTGGTGAAAGGAGAACTTCCGAGTTACAAGACGTACCTTTCAGTCTATTGTCCGTGTGGCTGGTCCGGAGATGGCGAAGAAAGACACCAAACTGCGGCAATCTATCCCAGTGCACAAGCGAGTAGCGCTTGCATTATGGCGGCTAGCAACGGGCGACACATACCGATCTACAAGACTACAATTCGGTATTGGACGGTGCACGGCCATTTTAATAAAACAGGATTTTTGCAATGCTATTGCTAAACATGCTAAAGAATTCATCAAATTTCCAGAAACCGAATAGGAGGTGCTCCAAAGTATTAGATTGTTTACAAACAAGTCTCCATTTCCCCAAGTAGTAGGGGCTATTGACAGTTGTCATATTGTGAAAACGGTAAAAAACGTTCTCTGGTTAAAAAGGTTTTAAAATATGAGCTTTCGGCTATTATACTATAGCCTTTAACGAATGTAAAAATTATAAGCGCGTGAATGGAAATATATACAGGGGAGGGTGTGAAAAAATTAAAAACTAAAAAATACAATAGAAGTGTTAAAAGCTAAAAAATGGACAATAGAACAAAATCAAATTACAATAAGATAGAATATTGTCTTGGTAACGGTTTAGAGTTATTGTCTGTGTCGACAGTTTTTGCGGTATGCCAAGATTCTAGTGTTTTTCGAAAGCGGTGATTGCTTTTGTCTATCACGGTAGCGCCCTCAAAGTCAATCGCATGATTGTTTTCCCACGCATGGTTGGCAATATTCGAGCCACTCGTATAGTTTTTAAGATTTCGTTGATGTTCCTTTCTTCGGGCTTGAAAGCATCTGCCAGTTTCTCCTACATAACTCCAACAGCAGTCAGAGCACGGAATTTTGTAGACAACATTGCATTGTAGATCTAAGGGCTGCCTGAAGTTAGGTGACGGAAATTCTTGTTGCAGGGTTTTTAGCTGGTTTGCTAACCACACGAATGTCATTTTTACAAAGTAATCTGGTAAGGGGCTCAGTCAGGCCGCTGATGTAGGGAAGACAAGCGAAACCCAGAGATGTGTCTGATGGATGGGCCCATTTGAAGAACATGGACACTAACTCTTCTGGTGGAGGAGTTGTCGGAGCTGACTTCTTTTTTAAAATGTTGGAAATAACTATTGATGGGTAGCCATTAGCTTTTAAGGCTTCGGTAACGTGGCTAGTCTCGCGTCTTTTACCTTCAATGGTGCTTGGAAGGTTGGCTGCACGGAATAGAAGGGTCGAGGCCACACAGACTTAATGTTTTAATTCATGATGTGAAGAAAAATCCAGATATCTATCTGTGTGTGTTGGCTTCCTGTAAACATCAATGCTAGTAACACCATTTTTCCTGGAAACAAGCGTGTCCAGGAAAGAGATTTGACCATTGTTTTCTTCTTCGATAGTAAAAGCGATTTTGGGATCAATGGAGTTTAAGGTGTCATGGAAGGAGGAGACAGCATCTTTCTTGATGATAACAAAGCTGTCGTCAACATATCGTTTCCAAACCCTTGGTGCAACTGTAGAGGTATTGATGGCTAATTCTTCAACTACCTCCATGCAAAGATTAGCGACGATAGGGCTTACAGGGCTGCCCATGGCACATCCGTGGACTTGCTTGTATATACAGTTATTGTAGACAAAATAGTTGTTGGAGAGTTCCGACATTTCCGGTGACTCACTATCGGGGATGTGAGAGCTTTCGAGCACGTGGCATGGGTTGATGGATTCCCTTTTACTGAGAATTTCATCCATATCGTTGGAATGTTTCGGTATGATCTCCTCACTTTCTTCACTTTCATTGTCGGACGGCACATCGCCCCCTCTGCTGTATCCTGTCAACTGAAGCTTGTCTTTGGTGTTTTTATACAAAATTTGTCAAATTTGCCAATTTGTTCTTCCACTGTTGTGGCGTTTTGTCACTGTCTACGTTTTGTTCCTTGCACCGCGAGTGAAGCTGGCGAGCAATCGACAGCCATTCAGGGGAGCTGAAGGCTTTGTATCGCAGCTTATCTTCATTTTCTCCAAACAGCTCCACCAAGATCTTTTCTTCAGTGTCTGTTCAACGATTTTTCTTTTTTGGACCAGTGCTGCTACTGCTGCTGTGGCTGTTCTCTTGCAATTGCGAGCCAGGCAGATCAGAATGGGGTCGTATTGAAGACGAGTGAATGTCGCGTACCCAAGGGTTGGGATTACGTTGAGTGTCAACCACATATACACATCCGTCTCATTCCAGTTTTTATTGAGTACAACATGTTACAATGCGGTGAAAACTAAAAGGAGATTTATGATTGCGTGATCAGAAATGATTCTATGGAAATTACAAATGAATGTAACGATAAAAAAGGCGATTAAATGTACAAAGGAAACTCACGTTTGATCCTGCGTAAAAGGGGTAAAAGAAACTCCGTGGGAAAGTGACTCCAGTTACTCCGAAAACTCCAATAACTCCGATAGAAAACTCTAGATGGATATACTCCGACAACTTACTCCGACACTCCGATATGTGATACTACAGAGATTATGTAAGCAACAGACTTTAAACATGATAGGCGGCTAATAACACGATCAAATACGCTCTGATAAATGATTAAAAGAATGAACAATGAAACGATAATAGAATTTAAACGATAGTAAATAATCACACAAAACAAAACAGTTCAGTTCATTTCAGTTCAGTTCGCTTGCTGAACGTTCGTCACA